GAAGAGGAATCCTTCGGTCAACGTCTCAGTAAGTCTGAAAATATTCATGATGAAAAAGTTGATTTCGAATGTAATATGCCTCCTAACTTTCGTGTGTGTGAAGTTTTGTTTGTTGCACGCGCTGTTTGGTACGCGTGTTGAGTGTTTGTCGCGCCAGCCATCTGCGCCCTCCAGCATTATTTTTTCCGGCCTTCTTGACTCTGTCTTGACAACTGGAATTAGGTGCGGTTGTGGTCAGAGAGTGGGGTAGACCTGGCGAGTTTGCCTTTACTGTACTTCCGTCACAGTCACCGCCTATTTCATCTTGTTGAAGCCCGTAGTGGATATCGTCGAACACGACGGTCGAACTATCGTGTCACGCCTATTTGTGATCCACCATCGCGCCAGTTACCTGCGCCCTCTGTCTCCATCTATCTCATGGACTTGATCATAACAGTGGGCCCACTTGGATGCGAGAAAAGGGAGTGCGATCGATGCCTCACAAATCTACTAACACTGTTTTCTACTTCACGCGCGTGTCACCGATCTGATCAGGCGCATAATTATACACTTCATTTGGAATGGATTAGGTCTAGTGACCTTCGTATGCGTGCGAGTCTGGTGTGTGTTCCACGTGCGCGTGTGCGTCCGTGCGTGTTTGGAGCTTGTTCCTAAATGGGCCGCGAGGCAAATGCGCTGAGCTAACACGGGGCTAGATCAGGGTACGGTCTGCGTCATTCAGGTTGCGCTTCCATACCAAATGCCAAACGTGGGGGCGTAGGTCCATGCGCCCGATGCCACCTCCGGTCTTCTCGACTATGGTGTGACATCGGGTTCTAATGGGTGTGGGACGAGAGAGTAGGGTACAGCCTGCGCGTGCATACTATCACTTAAAATTAATTCACGCGCAAGTTATCGCCCCCGCACCACCCTGTTGTCGAGCGCACGGCGGATCTTATAAGAATCGATGAGCCAACTGTCGGGTGTTTGTACCGCGCCGTCAGTTCGGTGTGTAATCTGTTGTGTTGAGTGGCTTACTGGCATATTGAGAGTCGGGCTACAATTGCTCCTTCTTAATGTGACCTTGATGGCCCTCCCACGCAGTTTGGACCCGAGCCAGGCGAAGCAGCACTTGTACTTACTTATTTGTACTTGTTACGGCTGCGATCATGCCTGATCTGGTCGGCCTCAACAAGGTCACGGAAGTACCTTTCCACACGTTACGATTGGCGGCAGCGGCTCTGGAAAGCTCCACTCATTTTCTTCTCCAGTAACGGAGGCCGAAAATAGAAGGTCCAAGAACCACTTCCAAGTATTGGTGAATGGTGTCGTGTCAGGTCTTGAGTTGCCTGCTTCTTCGACGCCTTCGGGTGGGCTGTGTCCATGGATCGAGGGCAGCATAGAAAAGCTCGTGAGGCGGACGACGCAGAACGTGTCCAAACCACCTCAGTCGTCTTTCTTAGATGGCGTGAGCTATTCTCGCGATAGTGTCGCAGCGATTCCGAGCTGCCTCATTTCAGACTAAGTCTGTTCACTTCACTCGAAGGATGGATCTGAGGTAGCGGTGGTCGAAAACCTCTAGTCTTCGCTCATCATCCACGCGCAAAGCCCAGCTTCCCCCCCCATAGAGTGATAGCATGTTTGGAGGCGGCTCCAGTTGCACTAGCTACCTGCACCCTCTCTAAATTCCGGTGTTCTTGACTACTTCTTTCCATCGATCCCAGGTGGAGAAGTAGAAAAAAGAGTGCGGTAGATGTATCGCGAGTATAATCTCACTTTAATCCTGTGCAAGTCACTGCC